AGCGATAGAATGGAGAATTTCAATGGGGGGGCATAATGTGTCTTATTTATATTTTATGGCCTAGTAATTACTTTATGGGTGAAGTAGAGACAGTATGTGGAATTAGCAATAACTGTTTGCTTAAAAAGAATATCATTCTTGAAGACAAAATTGTGGACTAATTTTGCAGCTTTCCTTTTGAAGGCTGTTTCCTATGCTGTATGTATTCCAAAGATTAAATAAGTTCTTAATACAAAATGATGTGAACTAAAAATATTGCACCTTTTCGAAGGAAGAGAAGGGAAATTTAGAATGTATTTAGCAAAATCTCTGAGGACTTGCAGACATGAGTTCTAGTGTTTTTCTTTTTGAAATTGTTAAACTAGTGAAATTGGGCAGCCAGTTTTATTGACTTTGTTTTAGATGTTTAAGAGATTGCATCATTAGAAAGCTTGTGTTTTAACACTTTACCAAAATGTCTAGAATTAAATGCAGTACTAATGAAAACTGCAAGGGATCATGTGCTAATTTCTTTAATGTTGAGCTGTGCTTAAGATACATAAGAAAACTTGGAAGCTCAAAGATAGTACTGAAACTGTTGTTTCAAGGTAGTGTATGCAGCCGTGAAGATGGCTACTGTCTTTGGTATTGGCACTAGTGACCTCCTGCACTTGCTGCTTTGAACAGCTAGAGCTTGGTGGTTATCTGAAACTAATAAAATACGTCTTGGTAGCTGTCCTGCAGGGTGCAAGAGTTGGAGATCAGTTGCAAATTGTTTCAATGTGTAGCTTTTTTCATGCTAGTCTTACATGCTGAAGTCAATTTTGTGCAGGTCTTGCATGATAAAACTTCCTTGTAATTTAAGATTACTTGAACACGCTACTAGTTTTGATTGACTTCTAATGTTTATGTATAGTGTAAGACGTGGGTTTACATCTCTTCAAGTGATCAAAAACGTACATTTCTCGCGTGATAATCAAAAATGTGGAACTGTATGGCTGGTGCTTAACAGTTACAATATGTCTCGGTTCCTTTTGTGTGTCATGTGAATCAAATAGGTCTGGTTGTTCCATGTCCATAGAAAGTGGTCATGAAAGCTATAATTGCGAATGTGGGGGGATAGAGGACATCCAACAGAAACTTCATAAATTTTGTGGTCTGTGAGCTGTCAAAACTGTCATCTGTTCTAAAATTATTGCTTCCAAGGACGTAGACTCCTCCACCTCTTTCTCTCCTGGCCACTTGCAAAATAATTGAATGGTCTGGTTTCCTTGTGAATTATGGTTGTGGTGATTGTGTGTGGGGAAAATGTTGAGAGGGACTTTAGATTCAGCATGCCTGCCTCTCTAACCATAAGTATTAAATAATGCCTGTCTCTTGAATCACCAGTATTAAATAACTGAAGATAATATCTTTTCTATCTGAGTTCCTGCTAGGAAAGAGATTAGCTAGGAGAAACATTTAAAGGCACTATATGACTAAGTAGTTTCCCTGACTGACAGCTTTATTCCGAAATGGAGACAGAAGGGAAGTGGATTATTGAGTTGAAAAGTCTTTTTGCTCCTTCAAGGAGACCCAGTACTGCAACCAAAGACAGACATTTCTGTTGGGGGAGGGGGGGGGGTTTACCTTTTAATTTTATCGTTGTGTCAACACTGGCTGTGATAGCCTTTAGATGGTCATTGAGTTTCTAAGTTAAACCCAGGTTTGAATCCCATGATCTCTTATGCCTTTTAGGTCTGAATAATATTCAGATGTTGTCAGATTAGTTTAGCTTCTATGGCAAATTTCCAGGGAACAGGCGCCTTGATTATTATCATTGTGGAACTCTGCTGGCCCAGCTGCCTTGCATTTCAAGACTGGTACTGTCTTACATGTACTGAAGCATGCTGTCTCAAGGGTTTTAACTGCTGTTGTACCACTCTTACTGTCCCACGTGATTTACCTGTTATGGCTCATATGCGGAGCAAGTGACGCACGGATGCGATAAAAGGAATTTCTAGACCGTTACTGCTTTACTGATAGATGAGTGCAAGAGATATACCATCTCCCTTGGGGGGGTGGGAAGGTGGGAGGGGATAACAAAATCAATATGCACATCTCCTCCTGGAGTTTCTTTATTCCTTTTAATAGCCTTTCCAGACACCCATAATGTTCTATTTACCTGGCTCTGTTCTTTTTCCTTTGCTGGAAAGCAAAAACTTTCTTAAATAGCAGTTTACAACTTCTCATCTCTTGGTCTTCTGTGTTTTGCAGTTCTATCTGGAGTACAGATGTCCATGCATTACAGTAATTACTGCATTTAAGCATAATTAGAGTTTAACCAGTAGCCTTCATTGCTTTGATAGCATTGGTTTTATTCAGTTATTGATGGTTTTTGATGACTTTTCCATCTGGGACCAGAGTCATAGGGTCTGACTTCCTCAGTGCTACTCAAAAAGATTGAAGCAATCTAAAGTAACTATGTAGCTGAAGATGCTATTTAGAGTAGATTTATAAGGTGTTTATAAAATGGACTGGAACTGATTGGTTCACAAACCAATAACTAAGTACGTTGCAGTTGAATTTCTGGAACTGTGTTCTCTAAAACAAGAAGGTTACCAATGAACTATGTGAAAGGTGTGCAAGATATCTGCCTGAGAGGGGACCAGCCAGTAACAAAACAGTGCACAGTTGGAGATCACTAAAATTATTTACCTTACCAAGCTTTTTTTCTTTTTTTAAAAAACTAATAGGTCTATTGCAAACACTGTATGCTCTGTTGTTAAAATACAGTCTGTGGCTGTAAAACAAAACCAACAATTAATTCTGCTCAGCATACAGAGGCTAGTAGGAACATATACATTGCCAGTCCCGAAGTCCCTGTGTGCCCTAGTAAGCCTTTTGCAAGGGTCATTGTGGTGGGGTTTTGTGTATTGTGTGGCTGAGCCAGCATCTTCCCCTGCCCCTGGATGGATTTGGTCTTCAATGCTGAATATGCTTGTAGTATTAGATTACAGTGTATAATAAATATCCTTTTTGTAAGTACTGTATGACTCAGCTTTCCACAGTTGTAGTCTATCAATTTACAAAACATAGGCAGCCAGCTGCACCTGCATGGAGCCTCTGTTGGAGTCAGTAGCTCATTTTGGGCACAGTGGTGTCCTTGTATGTTGTAAATTGCAGGTCAGGTTCTGTGATGACCATAAAGTTCTGAGGTTATAATTTCAACAAGATTATGAAATGGCAGTCAAAGGCATGAAGATGGGCTTAAAAAGAGAAGTATAGCTGCTGATCCTAAAGGGAAAACAAGAAAGAAGGTGTATGTGTGTGAATGAGTGGAAAAGTTGAAGCTGCAACCTTCTACTACTTAGGTATGTGTTGGGACTGCTTGCACGTATTCTGTTTCTTGCTTGCAAGGGTATTTGATTATGAAAGGGAAACTTAAAAGAGCTTTTAGCTTTATGGCAGATCTCCACAGAATTTTAGAACTTTCCTAGGAGGAAAAAATTACTTGGAGATTTGTCTTTTGGATGTCATATTTACGGCCCAGCTATATTTCATATGTACAAATTAATAGTTAAGCTTGGTCTGCTTTCACTGTTGTAGTGCTATTGAAATTGGCTGTGGTTTGATGATTGGAAACTAAAGGATGCAGCAGCAGTCATTGAGGGATAAACCTGAGCAAAGAAAGTGAGTATAAAGGGAAAAGTAAGAATGAAAGAGCCCACAAAGATACAGTGCAGATGTAACTTGTCCTTCAGCTCAACAGTTGAGAGGAACTTGATCAGGAATTGATAAGAGTTGTGGTTCTCCATCAGATAAATATGTCAGTGCAGTCCTCTGAAGAAAAAAAGCTTCTGATTTGGAGGCAGAAACTGGCTTCTGAAGCCCATGTGCTGAGGATTGGGTGTTTGGTTGATTTTTTTTTTTTTTTAAGTTTATAGGAGTATTAAAAGCCATCTGACAAACTTCTGTTACTTGATTGTACGAGGATGATACCAAGAATTCTTTTTTGAGAAAGGCCTTTACAAAAGGGTTGGATATTAAAAGCATAGAATATTTGGGGGATTAAAAAGAAGATCTATTTAGAACTACTTTTCTGGCCTTATTTTCTCATCCTTGCAGCAGTGTGAAATGGTGCTGTGTTAACTGCAATTTGAACAAAAATATCTGTTTCCAAACTTCCACTGGTCAAAACTACAGCTACTGAACCTGATATTAAAATAATTTCAGATAAATGGAGGAGGGGCTCTGAGAGAAACAAAGATTTCATGTATATGTGTCAGGTATAATTTTTTTCACTAAATTCAGTAGATGTAGTTCTAATAAATGAAAACTGTTTTTTGGGGGGGAGGGGAGAGGCACAACTTGTTTTCTGAAAACACAGAAGAAAATGTTCCAAAAGAATTGAAAAATGTTAGAATATACCGTGAACAAAAGGGAAACACTCAGTGTCCTAATCAGTGTCAGTATAGCAAAACATGAATACTTGAGTATGTGGTGAACTTCTGTAGTTAACACCTCATATTTTGTTAGAGTTATTGTTCCTGTGAAGGAGATGGAAGTACAAGGCAATCTTCCCTCCTCCCCCTGCCCCATGGATGCATATTTGAGCTTTCTAGTTAATTATACGCCTATAGCCAGAATATATTTTTAGCAGTATTGATAAACTGTGGAAATACTGTGTAAAATTACAGCTTCTGCTTGAGATTTTAGAGACACTGGAAAGCAAAACTACATTTTCCTTCCTTAAAAAGTGTGTGGGGAGAAGATGTCACCTATGTAACCCTGGGGTTTTTTCTATTACTTACACTGCTCCCATACTATGAAAGAAAGTACATTGTTTGGAGTGCACAACAGAGTGGAAATCACAATAAACAGCAGCATCTCTTGTTTTCTTTTTTGTTTTGTTTTTAATATTTCAGTTGACCTTCATATCTGCTGCCATCTAGATTTTGCTCAGCTTCAACAAACTAACTAGCATCATCATTGTCCTCTTCCATCTCTTATTCATCTTTATCCTCTTCTCTGGCACCCCCATGAGATTCAATGCTAAAGATCTGGCTTTGCTGGCCAGGCGACCATCAGGTTGTTTTGACAAGGAAGGAAAACTGAAGATTTGCAGAGTGGTTGGGGATGAAAAATTAATAGGTAAAAATGACTTGCACTGATAACTACCTGTGGTTGATGCGCATGTTTTCTGCAATTGTCAGCTTACGGTTTCACTAATCACATACACCTTCAGAGTTTTCAGTTTTCTTCATTACTGATGCTTGAGTGGTGTTAAATACCTTACTAAATAAAGAAGTTTAAAGCCAGCTCTTTAGTTTGCCGAGATTTTCATGTTTCCTTTGTCATGTACCTGAGAAACAGTACTCAGTCCTTAACATTATTATTATTTTTTCCTGTAAAGGAAGATAGTTTTTTCCTGCTCGTGATTGCTAGTCGCCAGTCATTAGTTGCCATGTTTTAAAGTTCAGATATCCAGTTGCTCAGGACACGCCCCTCCCACCCACAAAACCCGTGTTCTTTTGTCATTACAGATTTTCCATGGCTCACTTCCCACCTCCTTTGCAGGTTTCTTCAGGCTTTTATGATCATATTTTAAATGTCTTTCAATTTCCAGTAAGCTTGAATAAATGTCTGTTCCCTTGGTAGCTGTTAGGAAATAGCTCCCGTTTAGCTGTGAAATCAGTTCTAATACAATAATTTCAGCAACAACAAATGTTTTGTTTTCACTTGTCCCAGCTGATCTTCATTGTGATTATATTTACTTTTATTTTATTAGAAAAAAACAGACTCAAAACCAGCACAGACTCAATTATGATAAGGGGCTGAGAAAAGTTTGTGCCACGTGTTCAGAATATTTTACACATTTTCTAATGACAAATAGCCAAAGCTTCCTGTGGAGGATGCGGCAAACTTCCTGGACAGAGTACTAGTGAGCATCCACTTCTGGCTGCTTTGGTGTTCTTCAACAGAATTCTCTCCCTATGTTCTCATCATAGGTAGCATATCAAGCCCTGTTCAGTGAATAACTGATGTTTGTGAGGATCTTTTGAATTTTTCTTCACTTATGAATGTGTTAAGTGCTAATATTGCTGCTAAAAGCCTTAGGTTGACCATAGACAGACTAAACATCTTGCCCAGTATCGTGGGCTACCTGTACCATGGTCAGTGCTGGTAGATTCTAGGAAAGTTTTTAAGAAACTATGTACATATAGAATGTTCCTATTGCCCAGTAAATCCTTCTGGCTCCCAGCAATCAGATTATGACCCCTTGAGAGAAGGGTGATTTCTCTCGAGGCGTTTTGGTTACTGCATATACTATCCACTGATAGACTTGTCATCATTAGCCTGACTAATCTTTGGACTTGCTTATTTTTCACACTTATGAGGTAGTGACTTTCCTAATCCTATGTAAAAATATCTTTTATTAGAAAAAGCTGCAGTGTGAATGTGATAGGATTTCTTCCTTCTGATGCCCACAGGGTTCTGGAGGATGGAATTTAGTCATAGCAGAGTCCTGTACTTGTACTGTAAAACAACAAGCTTGGATCTGATAACTGTTTTTAGATTTTTTTAGTTGGTGGATGTGGATGTGCATCAACTTATATTACATTCTTTTCCGTATTGTTCTTGCACTTTAGGAGGTCTGGAAAAATCCAGGAACTTCAATTCCTTTTCTAAAAAAAACCAAAAACAACCGCCCCCCCCCCCAAAAAACCCCAAAACCAAACCCAACACCCAGGTTGTAACTAAAACCAGTTATTTTAAGTCCTAGTGGCTGTGAGTGTAAACCTTCCACTTCCTTGTGGGGGAAAAGCTATTCTAATTTTCAAATGTTGCCCATTGAAACATCATAATTGAAATTATCAAGAGGAAAAGAGAATTGTATTTATTGGTTTACTATAGCAAGACATCCCCCGGTCAATATTATGTCTCTAGTGGTGGCCAGCTTTGAGGGAAGTACAAGAGTTCCACAGAGGCAGCTGTGGAATAACGTGACCTTAGCGTACAGCTGTACTTCCAGCTCCCTAGCAATTCAAGCTTGGCTAATGTCTGTTAACATGGGGTTTCATGTGCCCTCTCAAAAATAAAAAAGAATACATCTTGCGTAAAAATGTTCCTTCCTCTCTTAAGAAGTGGTATAGGGTTTGTCTAAAGAGATCACATTTGTGAGATCTATATCTCTACATGTATCTATCTGTACCTACAGATACATATACAAGTGCTTTTTTAAAAAGAAAAATGATGCAATTTTAAAAATGGCTAGTTTAGGAAGAATAACTTTTTAAAGTTTTTCGACCCACTCGCCAACCCTAAAGTTCTGAAACATTCCCCATTCTTAAAAGTTTGATTGCATGCCTGCATGTGTGTGTAAACACAAATATGTTGTTATTCCCATGGGTTAAGCGCTTTTAAAAAGTGTAGTAAAACAGTTATAGCAAGGTGACTAAATATTTAGGTCTCATTTGCTCATGTTTTTATCTTCTGAAAATTGTAAATTCAGATTAGCATGTTCAAATCTAAGTGGAATAGCAACTGTTGTTGTGTCTTAACAAGGATTATATTTCATCTCGTGAAATGATGGAAGCAAAAGCCGTTCCATGCTAACGTGGCTGTTTCTGCTCCCATGTGAGGAAAAGGGAGAAAAGCAGAGAAAACACTGTTGAGTGTATGCCGCAGTCACCAATTCTGTCAGCTGCAGAGTAGAAGAAACCTTCTGGGAAGTTATTTGGCATTTAACAGCATGTTGTACATAGGCAGCTGCTGAGTGAAGCTGGCTTTTTTTGGTTGTTAATGATTTTCTTCTCCGACCTTTATAACTAATGCATCTTCTTTAAGAAGCATTTAAAGTGTGAAGACAAAAGGTTGTTTTTATTAATCTCTTACTTCTTTGCATACAGAACCGAGAGAGAGATGGTGCCGACTGAAAGGAAATCTGCTTTTTCTAATGAAAAATAAGGTAATCCGTTTTCCTACTGCTTTTCTTGATGTGTTAGTCTAATCTGTGAGAACTTGAGTAATCCTTTTTCATGATAGCTATTGGCGTTGTGCTTTTAGGGACAAAAAAAGAAAATAAATCACTATTATTAGAATAGTGGAGATCAAAAAAAAACCCCAAACATTGTTTGCCTTCTATAACACTAGGTATTCTTCATGATATCAACGTCCTTTAGCTGAATCATAAATAGTCTATGGCCAGGTTCTGCTCATAACATAAACAGGTCTAAATCCAGAATTACTCACCAAGTCTACTGGAATAATGAAAGCAAAATCTTACAGCTGAATGAGGTATTGTGGTAATGTTCAAGATGCAATTTCAGACCCCTACTACAATTTTTTAGTGTGGTTTTGTAACTAAATTTGTTGTGAAGAGTGGTGTTATTTTCTCTTCTTTTGTTGTAAAGAGCAATTATATGCCTAAAATGAATGGCCTATTAAAATAGGGTCTGGCTCTGACATGCCATGGAAGTCTTGCAGGAGCTGCTGAGTGCCCTCATTTGCCATTGGCTTTATTAGGAGTTTACACCACTCATCCTCTGGAAGGAGCAAGCACTTAAGTGTGGAATTCCTCTTTTTCTTACCCTTTTTGTCTGATATTATGAACACTGCTTCTGTAGTTGCCTGAAAATAGCACTGGATTGTAAAGAATTAGGGAGTTGTATGAAGCTCGAGATGCTTGCCTGTTAACAATAAGTATTTTATAATTGGCTCCTGGGATATTTTTATACTGTATGGACCAGCAGTTGGACGGAAATGATAGTACTGCTCGACAGATTGTATGTTCTGTTTGAAAGATTTTTCAATGTGATATAGTGGATTATTTTAATATAGTGATGAATGTGCACATATGGTATACTTTCAAAGCAGTATTTGCTTTCAAAGCACTGTTCAGGAGCATGTAATAGAATTCTGTATGTATGCAAACAAAATGAGACAGTATGATGTAAAGGTTTCTCTGGCTTGAGTTTCATATGGCTGCATTCCCCTGGGTGGTAAAAAGACCAAATTTTAGGTAGGTGAAAGCAAGCTCATGGCCACCCTTTTGTTCCACCCTCATACATTATTGTTCTGTTGTATGACTTGCAGAAACTATTTTTAGTAAAGGGCTTAAAGTGTCAAACTACTCTCTTCTACTCCATGTTCTTCCAAGCGTCCTATTTTCAGGGATTTTCTCTGGCATTTTGTAAAACAGTTTCAGGAAATATTTTGATCAACTTTGCAGCTGTGAAGAGAGAAGTAGGAGAGTTTTGTTGAAACAAAATGTAGCTATCAGTTTGACTCTGGAAATTTAGAGAATTAATGTTACTGTACTTAAAGGGTTTAGCGTGGATTGGTACTCAGGTTCATATGGTGTGTGTGGTGTTTTTTTGTTGGTTGTGTTTTTGGGGTTGTTTTTTTTAATGTGTAGATGAGGTACAGGTGGATGGAATGAGGCAATCTCAGTTGGACCTGCAAATCGACCAATATGCTAGGTCCACTCAGGCTGTTCAAATGCAAAGCTGTATTTTGAGGAACTTGGAGGATGAGACACAAATTAAAGTTTTTTTTACTGAAAAGATTTAGGCATGCAGTAAATAAATGGGAATTCCCCTTGAAATGCTGTGGTTTGACTGAACCAGTTAAGTAGATGGGTGATTTTTATCTCTGTCTAGGTCAGTGCTAGAAAACTGCATCTCGTTCTGGTTTCCTTGTTTAAAGAAGTTTTTAAAATATGCAGAAGTTATGGAAAGAACCACGAGATTTGACAAATTTTTAGCTTATCAAAAAGATTGGTGACTTGATTAATGTCAAAGTGTTTTCAGAAGGTGATTTTTATCAGGTACTTTCTTTAATTAGGGATGTCACGATAAGAGGAAAAACTTGGAAATTGAAGTCGGACAAATTCAAATGATCACAGGATGATTGTCCACTGAAACCAAGTGTGGTGAGATATTGTGGGTGCTCAGTTTTAAAATGTCACAACTTATTAGGCTCAGTACAGAGACCACTGAGTGATTAAAGGGCAGTATCTTACAGCAGATGAAACTAAATGATGTAGCACTTCCTAGTCAGTTTATATCCTAGGAATTTGTAAAATGGTCATTTTCAGAGGCTTCATCTGTTGGGTGCTGTAAAGGATAGCTTCTCTGACAAAGACAAATCTCTCTTGAATGTCAAATCCCTGTTCCAAAGGGAGCAATTCAGAGGTGTACTAAGTAAAACCAAAGCAATTTGTGTGTTGTGAGGACAGAAGGGAGTATACCCAGTATTTCTTTTTCTCCACCCCCCCC